ATCAAGTTATTATTATACACAGTTTTCAAAATGTTTCGCCTATTATTGTTGATGTAAACTGTTCTCTTGTTGTCCCCAAAATTCAAGGTAAGTATTTTAAAAAAAAAGTGCCCAACTCAGTTCAATTCGATAATTTTTCTCAGACATGTACCTAAGCACAATAATTTTTAAGAATCAAATGAAATCGTTGCTAAGAAACAATGGGTTTAAATAACTATAGTTTTTCGTGTCTATTCAAATAATACCGAACTATCCAAGACTGACGCCTTTTTCGGTTGATAAGCAGAAAACTAAGCAACTTACCAATTTCATTGAGAAACAGCTATATCCAGAAATGAACGAGTAGCATCCATCTATACAGTGAGGGTTGCTCCATTATCTAGTTTCCCATACACACAAACACACACAAACGGCACAGATTTTGGCAAAACACAATAAAACATATGTCCAACCCAACTAAAGAATGAAATAATACTCTTATGATAGAAAGAAATATTGTTATTCGAACTTTAATCACACAGGAAATATGATGATAGCGAGAAACAGGAAATCGTAATCTCGGGCTGTTTCAGTCACCTATAATGAATTATTAAATATTCGAATACTTTTCCTTCTAATCTTCTACGAACTGAAAATGCCAATGTTATACAGGGTGGCTCGAAAAGAAATTCCTTTTTTCAGTGGGGCACCATATGTATAATATTCCTAAGTGTTGATTATCCCTGCCAATATTAACATGTCAACATGTCAACATGACATAGAGAAGAATAAATAAATTTGCTATATCGAGTGTCTGAAATGGAACATAACCTCAAAGAGCTTTGTCTAGTATTGATGTATGATAGCGTTTTTTTTGGTCATCTGTCAAATGTCAAACGTCAGGCCATGAGTGCCCTATGTGAGTTTGTATTGCTATTATTGCTGTATATCAAACGGATACTCTATCATACGTATGTTTTGCTGAGTGTACCTGTGAGACGCCCTATTTCTTATCGCTATTGCTAACTCAAACATCCAGTATATTAACCCTTAAATGCATCTTGTTGCCGTTTGGCAACGAACCCATATTTGGATATGTAAAATATATGAGAACGAAAATTTGAGCTCGCTGCATACCTTAGCCGATCGGCAACGCACCACTACAGAACATAATCCTATTAGTTGCGCGGTGGTGGCGCCATTGGTGATAAGTGAACCGTTATCATCAGCTGACTAGCGACTCGCTCACATGGTTTTGTTTCATAAAATTGAGAATTGAATAGTTTTGCTTCAGTGGCTTTCTGAGAATTGCAAAATTGTGTTTCTAGGTCTTCAAGGTTTGTATTATACTTTGATAATTTTATGGATTGCTCAGAACTTGATTTTTTTTTGTAAAATGATAAATTTGTTTTGATGCCAATCGGCAACATCATGCATTCGGGGTATAATTCAGAGTGTTGTTGTTGTTGTTTCAGAATGAGTAATGCCAAGCAAATTCTATCAGAATCAGAGCTGGCAGAATATTGGGAAAATTTCACTGGCATTGAAAGTGACGATGGTGGGGATATATGTGAAACGGACAGTGATGAAGATCCTTCTTTTGTCCCAGAAAACAATTTTGATGATGAAGTCGGTTTGATTGAGGCCTCAGAGGAACCGTTGGAGACAATTGAACAAGAGGATCTTGACGATGAAGATGATTTGCCTTTGATTTTTCTACAACAAAATGCCAAGAAGAAAAAGGTGACCCAAAATAATATAAATTGGAAACGAAAATCCATGCAGCTGGACGAGGATCAGTTACAATTCCATGGAGATACAAAACTTGCTACTGATATTTGTAACTTAGAATCACCCTACGATTTTTTCACCTACTTTTTTTCGAAGGAAATTCTCGATAGAATTGTAGAGGAAACGAACCTATTCTCTGTACAGAAAAATCCAGAGAGGCCTACTGTCTTTACAGATATTGATATAAAACAATACATCGGAATTATAACGTACATGTCCTTAGTCAATATGCCAAACACCCGATCTTTCTGGAGTGATGATCTCAGATTCTCGAACATAGCTGATGTTATGCCTGTGAACAAGTTCGAGAAAATCAGGCAGTACATTCACTTCAATGACAATGATACGTTCATTCCTCAAGATCTTCCTGGTCACGATAGGCTGCACAAAATAAGACCTTTGGTTGATCATTTGAATAAAATGTATTTGTCAGTTGCTTTGGAGCAGCATCTCAGTATTGACGAACAAATGTGCTCCACCAAAGTGAGACACTATATGAAACAATACATGCCGATGGAACCCCACAAGTGGGGTTTCAAGTTCTTTGTTTTAGCAGGTGTTTCTGGCTTCGCATATAAATTTGAGATCTATACTGGCCAAGAAAAGTTTGATAACCCAAGAGATAATGAGCCTAATCTTGGAGTTACCTCAAATATAGTAGTACGATTAGCTAGAATCATACCAAGGATGAAAAATTATAGATTATACCATGATAATTACTACACAGCAGTTCCACTCATGGTATACCTCGCAAAACAAGGAATTTTTTCTTTGGGTACCATACGTCGCAACCGATTACCAAATTGTCAATTACCTACAGAATCATCACTGAAAAAAGAATCTCGTGGTACTAGCCATGAATATGTAGCAACAGTTGATAGTGTGGACATATCTTCATTGATTTGGAAAGACAACAAGTATGTTACGCTTATATCATCATTTGCTGGGAGAAACCCAGTTTCAAAGGTAAAAAGATTTGATCGAAAGCAGAAGAAGAAGATTGAGGTCGATTGTCCCTATATCATCACTGAATACAACCGCCACATGGGAGGAGTGGATTTGTTAGACAGCATGATGGGGAGATATAAAATACGTTTGAAGAGTCGGAAATGGTACATGAGACTATTCTATCATCTTGTTGATATGACCCTTGTGAATGCCTGGTTGCTCTACAAGAGAGTACATCTTGAAAACGGTCGAGCTGGCAAAGTCAAGAATCAAGCTGAATTTCGCTCTGAAGTTGCCTTTTACTTGTGCCAGTTAGGTTCATTTCGTACCAAACGTGGCAGACCTAGTAACTTGGAGTCTGAGATCGCAGAAAAAAGAAAAAGAGGACCGACTAAATATGTGCCACCTAAAGAAGTACGCACAGATCAAACTGGCCATTGGCCGATCCCGCAAGATTCGAAAATGAGATGCAAATATCCCAACTGTGTAGGTTTCACATGAACCAAGTGCGAAAAATGTGGAATTGGGTTGTGCTTGAATAAAAATAATAACTGTTTCAGAAATTTCCATAACTAATTTCTTACTTCTTCGAATGCATGATGTAGCCATTTGGCAACAAACATTTTTTTATAAATAAACGAACTGAAAAATGAAAATTGATTTTTTTTATTATTTTTCTCTATCCTGTCTATGTGATTAGTTGTGATTTTTCGATATTTTGCGAGAAAAAAATAATTCATGCATTTAAGGGTTAAATTATTAGGTAGCGGTACTTGCAGGTCATCTAGTCACGTCGTGTCATCAATCCTTTGTTAACTGTCAAATGTAATACGTCAGCTGTCTAATCCCGCAAAAGTGGGTGAGGCGTCCAGTATATTTTTTTTGACTGTTATCCAACTCAAACGCCCTGTATATATCATGTTATAGCGGGTAGCCTTTATATGTAGGTCGGAGAGGTATAACGCCTTTTGGGTTCACCCTATATTTTTTTTTCCCAACTATTACCCAACTCAAGTACCCTGTATATAGCCGTTGACGCCCTGTATATATCATGTTATAGCGGGTAGCCTTTTATATGTAGGTCGGAGAGGTATAACGCCTTTTGGGTTCACCCTATATTTTTTTCCAAACTATTACTCAACTCAAACACCCTGTATATAGCCGTTGTTGAAAAATGGAATGAAATGCGCGCCGTTATCTCTAGAACGGATCTATCGCAGTCCAACCGATGATGACGACCCGTTCGCTAGGCCGCGAGTAGCTAGCCGAGTCAGGCCGGCCTGTGATTGGTCGGCCGAGTCACGTGGTTTGGAGAAAAGTGGAGGGGAGGGGCTGGACTGGAGACCGGGACTACCTACTTAAATACCAAACGTTTAGTAACAAAACCGTCGGTCACTACATTCTTCAAATGATACCAATTGTATGGTACCAGAGATGATACTCATAGTATAGTCAGAGATTAGGTATAGTATAATACAATTTTGTTGTGGTATTATTTGATGAATGTAGTGACTTGCGCCTATTTCACTAAACGGTTGGTATATACTATCGAATATTTCTCTGAATGTGTCTTATATCTGATACAATAATGTCCACTACGAAAGAATCCATTTCGTCCTCATAAAAACCTTCTGGGAATATGAAATCGGGGATACCTGAAGAGAATGTCAAGAATTAAGAGTTGGAAAGGATATCTCATTATCTAGGAAGTTTTGCTATACGCTATTACATACTCCAAAGATAGTTACTCCAAAATTAAATATAACAATTGCTGAAAGAGCCAAGGGTGAGCATCCCCAAATACTTTTATGATTGTCGCTGCTCTAGATTTGGATTCGAAATGAAGCAAAGCTGACTCACCTGAGCTGGAGAAAGTGCTGAGAAAATGTGACGTTTGAACTAGGCCGCTTAGCAAGTTCCACAAAAGGATCGCGCTAGACAAAGAAGTCTCCGGCGCAGGAATCGACCCTGAAGTAGATGGTATTTGGGAAAGCTTTGCAGTTGGCGGATATACTGCAGTCTTGCAAGCAGAAGTCACGCCATTCTGACCATCACAGAAAGGCAGGAAAAGAAAGAGGGACTGGAGCATGAGATTGATAGAGTCGAGCAGTCTGCCATCCACAAACCTAGTTTATTAGTGATCGAGCCAAACTGGCGAGAGTTTTTCGAACAAGAGAAATCACTAGCTGCAAGCAGTCTGAATACTCGATAACTGGACCAAAAGACTCGAGGACGGCATGGTTACTAGAAAGAGACTGCGAAGATGAATTGTACTCATAGATATGCACACAGTATACAAAGGACTAGATAGACATCTATCGTTGAGAAAAGTAGGAGATTATTTTGGTTTTCGTCAAAGCGAGGAAGACATGTAAGTGGCCACTACAGGGAATAGTGAAAAGTGCACTGAAGGCTAAGATTCGGAATTCTTGATGTTTATATTATGTCGGTAGCAGAGTTGGCGAATGAATATCGCAGAATTCGAATGATGATCTTAGTTCTTGGAAAATATTGGTAATCGAAATTGAATAAGAATTTCAGTTAGACCCTGATCAAACGTGATTTTCTTCAATGAAGTATTACTGGAGATTTTTGAAGGATATTGAACGAATTATGGCGTGCAAAAAATATATCGCATTGATTCATTGATGGATTTGATGAATTGAAGATCACAAACTATATCGATATAAATCAAGAAGGAACATGTTGAAGCAAATTCCACTACCTGCTCTCTGTGGCTTCTACATTGATCTCAGTTACATTTATCTGGTTATCCGGTTGTTCATATTTTGGTATATACTCGTGATGGGGCTGTTGAAACTGTGAGAAGTTAGTCAGGCATATACTTATTATGCAGTAAAATGCTGCCGTACACTAAAAGAACTGATATTATGAATTCACAGAGTGATGTTTCATCGTACTGTGCCATTATAACTCAATTCACAGCAGCAAGTGCTATGATATATAAATATGAAAGTTCACTGAACTGTAAACTGCACCACTTTTCCCTACAAGCAGAATACAATGTCATCTTATAGTCTATATAGTGTAGTGACAATCGGATGCAAAGTTAACATGTGGTATTGTTCGTATGATGGGTTTAGGGCGTAAACGAATGCCAGACTATCCGCGACGGTTAATGATCGTAGGCGGCTGAGAAAATGTGCAATACCTTGATTCTGCATTCATTCATGATCAAAAAAAAATGTTTTTTGGCCACAAACGGAACTGACAGCTTTTCACCACTCTCGTCAATTTATCAACTGGATTTTTATGAATAACCGAGTTGCTTAAACATTCATGCACTGAGAGAAATTCCTATTAGCTGTCCAATTAGGAGCAATGTATTTCAGAGCCTCGCTGTTCGTTGGATGAACGAGTCTTTGGAAAGAGATGTTCTGCAGGTTTCCAAAGTGACCACGAAGGGGTGCGAAGCCTCAACTCGACGGCTTGATCTCGCGGGGACTGCCAAGAGAGGAACAATTGTTGACATTTCAGAAGAGCATCGTCCATGAAAATTTCTATAAAATAGAGCCGGATCGCCTACTTTTCTACGGTGTTCCAGAGAAGTGATTGAGTTTGTGAGCGATGCATCCCCCACGAGACGAATTGCCCTTTTTTGGACAAAATCCAACAGTTTCAGGGTTTGTTTGGCTGTAAGTAATAGGTCGCACTGACTTCTAACAGATACGTTGACTGATTCAAGTACACTGAGAGAATTTTCTATGAGTAGTTAAAATGAATTGCATTATCACAGCAAAATATCTGCATTAAATATGCGCCAGAGCAGTTCATTTGCTAAAATAAATGGAATCATCTTGCTGAAAGATCTCTATTTGATATGAATAGATAATTGCATTGTTTAGTACTTGCCTGGGACAATAACGCAATTGTGCTGTCGGTAATAGGTCGTCTATTTATCCTTAATATGCTAACTCATTAGTCTGAAATCGGTTGAATGATTAATATAACATGATTTTCTACTGACTTCTTGCTAACACAGAAAGTTCATTTTGTTACTCCTGATAGATCATCGAATAATTACTGTGAAGTTCTGTATATTGTAACTAGTTGATATTTCCCTACCTCTGATAGATCCCCAGATAGGTACTTTGGATTATTCTAGGTAGATTTAATAATTTTCATAAATAGATTGTCATATAGCACTAGGAGGGTTGTGTGTATTGAAATACTGTATGTATACCGGATGTTTGACGAAAGTGGCTCTCCCCTATTACTTTTCTGTTTCTCTGAATGAACAAATGACATTCGGTGTGTGAGTATATAAATGCATTATTCGACTTATCCAATTGTTTTTTGCCACTTCCGGTTCGACCGGAAATGACCATATTTTCTCATTTCAAATGGGACGCCCGGAATATTTTTACTTATTTCGATAGAGAATAACAGTAGAATGGCTATGTATGTTCTGGCTCAAGCCAATCAGAGACCAGCATTTGGTTGGAGGCCACGCCCACTAAAAACCAGCGCGAAATTCAAATTATTCATACGTCGTCACGTCGCCATCGTGAATAAATAAATTAAAAAAAGCTGTCACCGCTGAGGGGAATTGAACCAGGGACCTTTGCATTATGAGGCAGCGTATATACGCACTGTGGTATTCCGACCTCCGTGATATCTCAATTATTTTAATGCTATTCAAACGGGATATCCATCGCTGGCGCGCGCTTATCTTTGCAACGGATCCATCGAGGTAGAGTGAAGCGAGAGATGCATTCCAGAGATAAGAAACTTCGAGTCGAAAATAATATCCATCGCTGGCGCGCGCTTATCTTTGCAACGGATCTATCGAGGTAGAGTGAAGCGAGAGATGCATTCCAGAGATAAGAAACTTCGAGTCGAAAATAATATCCATCGCTGGCGCGCGCTTATCTTTGCAACGGATCTATCGAGGTAAAGTAAGGCTCGAGCGCTCGGCGCTGCAACGTTGTCGGACGTATGTGTTTGGATGTTAATATTGTTACATTATTGTGTGTGGCAACGCTGTCTCGCTTCATGGCGTTCGAAGATCCAGCAAAGCGAGAGATCCCTTAGAATGATAAGCGCGCGCTCGTATACCCATTCCTCAAACTGTGACTTTAATGACAATAACAAGATTGAATTTTCATATACGGGGCGTTTGAGTTGATTGAAAATTGAAAAAAAATATATACAGAGTGTCCCACGGTTCGCGGTCCCATGTTTTAGCATGAAAGAAGTGTTTGAGTTGAAAGAAATATATACAGGGTGTTTGAGTTGATGAAGATTGAAAAAAAATATATACAGAGCAGCCCATGGGGGTGAAAGAATACGAAAACGAAGATAAATAATCTATTTATTTAAGTAATCCTTTTCTACAAAAATGACATGCCTCTTGAGAAGATGGCGGTCCATCCCAGTGTGTGGTCCAATCGGGACGATTATAATGAACGAAGCATGGCAGTTTGATTTGTAGGTTAAAGTTGCTGCGATATTCTTGAGGAAGTTTGTGCCACACCCTTAATAGCCCATAATGATCTGCATATTCAATGAGACATTCTACTGGAATGTACTGCAACTCTTGTTCAGTGAATTTCGTCAAAGTCAAAGCGGGAGATTTTATAAACTCCAATAGCACAGCTATTTCAGACTTCATGATTTTTCGAGCAGAGCTAAAATATTTCAGATGCTACTAGTCTCGCGTCAAGTTGTAGACTGATGAAATGAAAAAAAACTAGTCACATTTTTCACAACATTTTATTTAAATCAGACATAACCTCATTTTTACAATAATATAGATATTCTCTGAGAGCGTTACTAGACATGCTATCACAAACATCACAAAATCCAGATATAAGCTCTTCCGCACCCAAATCAGTCAGGCTATTTCTAATCCAATCGGCTATAGTATTCAAAATGTTCTGATAATACATGGAAAAGTCCAATTTGTTTATTAGCGCAACTCGATGTGAAACAACACACGTTTCAGCCCTCAAAATGTCTGCAACATCCTCTTCCACCAATTCGAATGTAATGTGGTATTTGGTGAGTGACAACATTTTGACACCATCGCAAACGAATTTGGTTATGGTGATATAGTCTCCGCAGGTGGTAACGGCAGGATCATATTCATCAATGAAACAGGGCAGGGGTGCTTCAAAAAAGTCTTGTTGTACCTTATACAGCGAATCGATGAAGGTGGCCCATTCATATGTGGAGAACGAAATTTTCGCTGGATGGAAGGGTTTCTTCAGGATGATGCTCGGACTAAACTGTCTAGCTGGACTAAGTCCGCACTGAATCATGTAGGTGGACAACTGAAACGATGAAGTCAGCAGGAGGTACGATTCGGCTTTCGCTGCTTGCTCAATCATGTCCAAATATGTATCAACGTCACCATAATAACCCATCATTGCCAATGAACTAGTACTACCGTTTTCGGAAAGCACTTCACTAGATGAATAACCAGAGTCTTCACTCATTGTTCTCGAACTGATGTGTTGAAAGTTTCAGTCCTCATTATTTATACCACCACTACCAACACGTCACAACATCCGATAATGGTTGTTATTTGTCAGCGATCGACGTGAAAGGCCCCTCACATCCATTGAATTTGTGCTAGTTTTCCATATGATTACATTATAACTTGTTGGTGGAATCAATCCAGCTGTTATGTGTATCATCGAATCCTAGCCATTTGACAAACACCTTTTTATCCCTCTTCCTTAAAACTTTTTCCACTAGGTAAACATCGGAATTTTCAGTTTTTTGCAATTCTTCAGGATAAAAGGCACCTTCGATCGGAGTACCATGCAAATCTTCCAAGATGTATGTAGTAGGTTTCGTAATACGAACTTTTACGATTTTAAATAGTTCAGTAGTCCAATTTGGTGTATAATTCTTTTCGAAAACATGTTTGGCTTTGCTTATTCTCACAATGTCACCAACGTCGAATTTTCTGGTTCCAGCAATTTTGATGTGATTGTACGTGGATTTTAAAATATCTTGTTCGTTGGCTTTGGTGACATCACTGGGCTTGCATCTTATTGTCGTATGTTTCGTGTTAATATAATTTTTCGTGATTTCAGGCAGGACATCTATCCAACGGTATGAGCCATTCAAACTAAAGTACTTGTATAGTTTTTCCTTCGATGTCCGTATAACACGTTCAGCAATGGCTGCCTTCATTATGGTGTACGTATGATAATGGTTGATGGAGAACTTTTTCATCAGACTTTGAAACTTTTCGTTGTAGAATTCGGTACCTTGATCGGTTTGCAAATTCTTGGGAATTCTGTTGTTGGCATGCGATAGAATATCAGCAAATGCACGAGCGATTTCAGCACCAGTTTTTGATTTTAGTGGTCTAGTCCATAGGTACTTGGAAAAACA